CTTGAATTTAGATACACAGATTTAGATAGACAAATATATGGTATTTAGAACTTAAGAATCTACTTTCGAAAACAAGCTGTGGCTATTTTAGTTATTTTGTACTCTTCTGTTGTGATCATAAATCTATTAATAAAAAAAATCTTTAACTATTGTTTCATCATAGTTTTTGCAAAAGTCAAATTTCGACGATATAATTTTACTTTCTTATTTTTATATTTCTGTTTCTTATAAAAAATACATTTCTGTAAATGAAAAATATGTTTAGATGAATATTACCAAATTAATAAAATTGTTATTATATGGAAGTTTACTAAATTACGTTATGGCTCTATACCAACACAAAGAAAATGTATTTGACAAATTTAAAATAAATAACAAGCAAATAAACGGACCAAAAACAACGAGAACTAGAAGATCAGAAGTAATCAAAAATACTAAGGAAATTACATCCAACGCTACACACTCTTACATATACCAAACGTCTAAAACCTTACGTGATAGGCTTGTCAATCCTCGTTTGCCTGATTTTATAAAACCAAAAAATACAATATTGAACTAACATTAGAGACAGGAGAGGATATCTTCTATGGAGAGTGTCGTATTACGATTATGATTCTTAAGGCTACACAAAATATAAGCCTGCATTCAGCAAATTTGGAAATAACTGAAGTCATATTTACAGGAAAGACTGATAGTTATTTAATAGTGGGTAAAGCACGTAATATTTCATATATACACGAACTGCAAATTGTCGTCTTGGATTTCTCTGAAGTTCTACGTCCTGGTAATTATACTTTGAGCATAACGTATACAGGTGTTATTGCTAATGATGGAGGTTTTGTCAAGGTCTCATATATAAATAAGATAGGAGAAAAAAAGTGAGTAAAAAAACGTACACATCACATTAAAAATATTATGTAATAATGTCTGAAATGAGCCTACAATTAATATCTATTAAATACCAATAAATATTATATAATAAAAATTAAAAAGAGTCACTGAACTAGTGAAAATTAATGATTCACAATGGTATAGTCAGTCTAATAACATTCTTTAAATATATGAAAAATAATATGTTATAACTCTGTTAATGTTATAATATTTATAGAGTTTTAGAAAAAGCTTTAGTTTTGTTGCAAAATATATAGTTAGATAAAGTAAACACTTTGCAAAAAGTTATAAAAGTAATAACGTATAAAGTGTTATTATTTCTTTCTTAAAGGTGTTTTATTAAATAAATTATTTATAAATATTATCCGCGTATATAAAATAGAATTTTAATACGAATCTTTAACATTTATTTATAATTTGTATATATATCTATGCATAATAACATAAATATGTTGAACTGTAAAAAAGTATTAGAAAGGAAGATCACGTCTTGCACTAATAAAACATAAAAGCTGCAAAAATATTTCTATTAAAATATATTCGCTCTTTCCCCCGTTCCTGTAATAAATTAATTTAAATGTTATTGAAAATAAAAATTATCTTATTACACAATTAACAAAATTAATTGAATACGTTAGATGGCTGTTCGTAACAAATAACTCAGCGATAGGAATGCGACGACTCTTTCCATGTTGGGACGAACCCGGATTAAAAACTGAATTTGTCATTGTTGTAAATGTTCCTGAATATTACAATGTTTTTTCAAATTCTTTTCTTTTTACATCTATGTCAAAATCGCCTTTGACGACACACTGTATCGTAACTTCTGAAATACCCACGTACCGAATAGGAATTGTGATATTTGATAAGCATGACTATACTGATATTTCTCCCATACAAAACTTCAAATTATGGAGAAGAGAGTTGATGGAAGTACAATGGGATCAAATTTTGAGATTAATTGAAGATGTCATACGTACTGTTGAACATACATGGCAACTACAGGAAGGAGATTTATTAAGAAATCAATTTGCGATCGCAGGTTTGACAGATGATGGCGTGGATAAATTGGCGTTCATACTTTACAGGTAGAATATGTTCTTAAAAAATTAATTTTTATACTCTTATAATAAATCAATTATAGAATAAAGAAATATAGTAAATATTACATAGTATGTAATGCTACCAGTATTAAAAAATAGCATATATTGTGAATATTTTTATATAACGAATCATTTGTATGTTGTGTTTAGAGAAGAAGATATTATTTACAATGAAAAAATAGATCCCATTGCACGCAAAATAGAGTTATCACGTAAAATAGGACGTAAAGTGGTTGGTCAATTGTTTGGTACCGCGGTTAGTCCATCATGGTGGTCTTGCATGTGGCTGAACGAGGGTATTGCTACTTTGTTCGGCGTATATACAATCAATCAGGTATTTTTTCACGTGTAACAATACTTTCAAAGAAAACTGAATATAAGTTTTATTTGAAAACACACGAGGAGAGAAGGAATATTCTTCCAATATTTTCAATGATATTTAAATTGAACGTAAAGAATTTTGTCACATTCATGTGAAATCGTTTGAAAAATTTTTATTAAATTATATTATTAATGATTATTAAACCAACGGTGATAAATTAATAATTAAATTATTATTTATTTTGTCACTATACTTATAATGTCTAGATTATGCCTGAGAGTCGAATGTTGGATTTATTCGTAGTCCAGACTCAACAAGAATCTCTTCGTTTAGATGATTCACAAGTTATGAATCCTCTTGGTTCAGAAGTTAACAGTATTTTTGAAATTAATTCTCTCTTCTCTTTCACCTATTACATAAAAGGTATAGAATATTGAATAAATAAAGTTGAAACAATTAAAACATATAAAATTATTTAAGAACTATAAAATAAGTTATTATAAAATAAGTTATTACTAAACTTACTACTAGTTACTATAAAATAAGTTACTATCAACTAGTAAAATAAGTTACCAAAAATAAGTTTTTACTTTAATTTACATATTTTTTTATTCACTGAAATAAGTAATGATATA